TGCTTGTTTTTTAATTTATTATTCCTTGACACTTTTGGGCGGGCTGCCAACTGTCTCCCACATAAATACATGGAGGTTTATTCATTCTTATGGAAGCCCAGCTTAGCTTCACTAGATTCCTGCCACCTTTTAAGTTATGCCATCTACCTTTGCCTCCTGGCTTTTATCTTCTCTTTTTTATATTCCTTTCGTTACTACTTCTGTGGCTTGCTGTGTATCTGGGTGCCTGGCCCCTGATGTCCATTTCAGTGACAATATTTTCACATTCTACCTCAGTGCCTGAAAGTGTCAGAGGACTGTTGCAATTCTGTTGGTTGATCCATTGAAAACTTCCAAGGGTCATGTGGGAAAGGGAGAGACTGGCCATCTGGAATTTGGTCCCCAGAGGACTGTGGTATATTAAACTGAACTCTAGGCTGCCCTCTAGTAGAGGAAGCTTCATAGGGCTTTGCTGACTTGGAGTCCAAGAGGCTGAGTACTGTGTCCATCACAGTCAATATATTGACTCATGCACTTAGAATGTGCATCTGATAAGTCTCTGCTTGGGACCCAAACACTAGTCACCATTCTAGCTGTCACACAGAGGCTTAATCCATAATCTGGAGGTATGGATTTAAAAAAAATAAAATAGAAAATGATTTGAAATGCTGGGAATGGAGAGGGCTGTGTGCTCTGAAGGAGACACACCAACAACCCAGAAACATAGCACTTTGAATATATGCAGTGGACAGCAGGTTGCCTCTACTGATGGTAGGGGTCTCAGTGGGGGACAGTCTCAAACTGCAATAATCCCAGGGAGGATTTTTCCCATCCTCTAGTAGGCTTCCATATCTCCTTACCAAGCACAGCAACCTTCCACAATTTGTTGTTTGCAAGGAAATGTCTACTCTCCTTGTCATTAATATAGGAGTGAAAGCATTTATGGCAGATGATTGTAACAAAAGAGATTGTCTTGGGTTTTCTTTTTGACCTTATTATGTCCAAGAGTTTGGGACAGATTTGCAGTTTGTGAAATCTCTCTACAGTGCTTTGCCATAGATGTCATTTTACTTCAGAGGGGCCGGATACAGGTCCTGCGCCAGCTTGCTCAGCATTGGTGACTGGTTTAGCAGTTGTTTCAGGACAGGCAGAGAGAGTTTATTTCCATAGAAATTAAGCTGGAGGAGGAGCTGGGAGCATCGGCTGAGGGCAGGCATGAAGCCCTGAACTCAGAATCCTCCAGTCACCACTGTTCCAGATCCAGGGTTGGCAAAGTAGCTGGCACTCAGGAATTCCAAGTGGCTTAAGACACACTTCACTTAAGTGTGTTTATGAGAATCCAGGGACAGCCTGGGGGAGCTGAGGCAGTCAGATGGAGTTCAAATGGAGAGTGACAGGCAGCGGGTCCTCCTGTCCTCTTCCGTGGATGAGATTTCTCAGTGTGGGCATTTTTGGATCGTGGAGCAAACACTAGCAACCTCTGTTGGAAACGATTTACCCCCACCAGCAGCCCTTTTTAAGGGCACATCTTATTGCCAGGCTGCATTGACATTTTTTCTCTCCTGTTTAATAGAACCACATGTGGCATGGGAAGCAATCTGGAACTTTAGGGGTGTTGATCACTTGAAAATGTGCTGGAGTCTGGGACAGGATGGCCCAGGAGTCTGCTTTCAAGAATCTCAAACAGCACAACAGGATGCTTCATCACATCCACCTGTAGATATATAACATACACACATGTGTACTTAAAGGGCTTTAGTGGTGTCTCTTGATGCTGAATTCCAGATTTAGTGAAAACTAAGAATGTCCCTCTATGCCCAAAAAATGGCATGTTGCAGAAGCTGACTTAGCAGAGGAGAGCTGTGCTAGGGTGTCTGCAGTCCCTCCAAAGGTGGCTCATGAAAAGTGGATGAATTAAGGTATCCAGGGTTCTGAAAGGAGGGAGAAGTTGGCTATAACTTTGGTCAGAGGCCAGAGGACTTGCCCAATTGATCAGACTCTAGAGCAACCTAGACTGAAATCCAAAGCGTTCAGGTAGTTAAACTGGCCTGGCTGTGCTTGCCTGTCACTTTGGGAAATCCTCTGAACCTGTTGAACTGTGCCCACGAATGTGAAGAGTGGAGGCGGCAGGCTGCTAAAATGACAGCGAGAGCTCACACCTCAAAACTGTAGGAAAGAAAGAGTCTACACTCTAAATAGAAGGAGTCTTTGAGTGTAAAGACCACCACCTTGAGCAAGGCTGCATCTCCTATATATACCTGAATAGTGTCACTAACTGGGGACATGCTTGTATTCAGATGTCCAAGTGTATGGGAGCATTTCATTCAAACCAGCACAAGAAGTTGGAGGCTCAAAGCCAGATCTGCCCATGGGCAGTCTTCAAGAAGGGGTGTCCCTGCTCTACAGTGGAGGCTCCTCTACTTTGTGCACTGGCCCACCACCAATACTCATAATTGCTCCAAGTCAGTTGATGGCTGGGACAATCTACAGGTTCAGCAGGAATCACTTAGATTTGTGATTTCTGGAGTTTGAAAACTATCCTCGAGTAGACACTGCAATGGCTTTGTCTCATTTTGGAAGCATTAGGGAAACTGGGGTCCTGTTAGTTTTCTTATAGGGCAGAATCCTGAAGCTGTCAGTACCTTGCATGTATCTTTTGATGTCCAGCACATGAGTTGGAAGTCACCCCAAAGGGAGAATTGTTTCTGAGTGCTTAGAAACAGGCTGGTTTCACTTGGGAAGAAATGATTCTGGGGACAGCAGCCTGTTCTTGAAAGCTGATGTAAGATTCATGTAGGGCATGATGGTTTAAGCTAGCGATTTGGATTCCTTTGTGTGGGCTAAGTAGCCTTTTCTTAGGCATTGGGATGTAAGAATAAAATGCCTATGGCTCATCTAACGAAGCAGCCATTTGTGTGGAGAGATGACTTCATACTGTCTGTCCAATTATTCTCTGAGATTGTTTTTGGTACTGATGGGCTGTTAATTCCAGTCTGTCTGGTAGTGTTTACTTTTACACTCGTCAGGAGTGTCTTCTGGTTGGAGAAATTTTGAGGAGGTGCATGGGCTTTGCTGTCTGTGGATGTCAGAGGATGGGTAGGCCATTTGGTGTAAACCTGACAAGGGATCCTGCAGCGAATACCAGCGGGAAACAATGATGGTGACCATGTCTCAAAGACATAGTTCTTTTGATTTTTTATTTTTCTTATCAACAGATATGTAGTGTCTGTGTCCTGCTGATAAGGGTCTTGAAAGATTTTATGATAAAGGATTGAATCACATGACTGTGTCCACTTGTGATGAGCAGTTCGTCTCATCTGCTGTTGCTGGTCTGTGAAAGGACCATTATGGCTAGCACTTTCTTGGTTTTAGTGTTATCTATTGATTTAACCAAAACTGTGCTGTCAAAACAACCTTAAGCAAGGAAGTCTGGGTTATTTCACTTGTACTTGGATGTCACAGTCCATCACTGAACGAAGTCAGGGCAGGAGGCTGGGTCAGGAACACTGGGGAAAAACTGCTTGCTAGCTTGTTGTCTGGTCTGTATTTAGCTGGCTTTCTGATCTAGTTGAGACTCACCTACTTAGGGATGCTGCCATCCATAGTGGGCTGGGCCCTTCACATCAGTCAAGACAATCTCCTACAGATGTGTCCACTAGCTACTCTGATCTGAGAAGTTCTTCAGGTTCCCATCTTCCCAAGTGACTAGTTTGTATGTCAATGACAAGAATAATCAGTACATTGGTTTCAATGGTGGAATAAGCAAGAACTTCATTCCTAAGGAGACAGAGATTCGTCACAACCTTGGGCCCTTATCAGTTTCATGGATTCTATGAATTCTCACCAGCCTTGAACACCAATTCTAGAGAAGATACACCCTTGGAAAGTCATTGGTCTTGTATTTCTTGCCTTTCCTTCATTAGGAACAGTGTGTTCTAGGGAAGAGTTCAGATGACCTGTCTGTAGCCACAACAAGAACAATTAGACTATCCTAAGTGTATGCTGATGAATAGCCCTGATCAACTGATTGAATCACTGAAGATACCAGGAAGAAGCAACTTCTTCCATTCATCTTTATTTCCCATTGTACGATTAAATAGTGAGAACAAAAGCAACTTAAGAGGGAGGGGGAGGGAGAGGTCTTATCTCACAGTTCAGTGCTACAGTCCACCATAGCATGGAAGTAATAGAGGCAGGAGCTTGGATGCTGAAGTCAGTTATATATATATTATAAATATATAAATATTATATATATAATGTCTGTATTGTCTCCCACAAGTTTCTAGAAAATCCTTCCAAGATGATTCTATTGTGAAGTTGATAGTGTCCAAAATTTTTTTTATCTTATAGTTAGAATACCTAGAATTCTACAATGATGGTTCAACTTGGTGCTGCAATTTGAGTGCACTGCATTTTGTATAAGGATTCTCTAGACGAGCAGAAACAATGAGATGAGTAGATATGCTATTCAAGGATTAAGTCAGTTTGCATCAAAACAGCAACAGTGGCTGAATCACATCTGAGAAGCTGAGAAGCCAGTAGTTGCTGGGTCTTGGAGGTTGCAATGGATCTCAGCATTTGGAGTATTCTCACAGCAGCTATCACTCAGATAGAAGTCTGTGAAGATGGGTGTCTCAGCAGTACTAAACTGTCATAGAGAACCTGAAAGGTTCTTGGAGAGCTCTCCAGTCACGAGTCCACAATAGAAGACATTCAAAGCTGGTTCTGTCGGAGCAACAGGATACATCATCTCAGAAGCAAAGGGGAAGGCAAGGCAAGTTCTGCCACATCCTTGTTCTGACTTTGACCCTCTTTATTTATTCCATGAATTATAACCTGCCATTCCTGTATGATTTGCATCCCCATAGAATGAAGAGGCTCTAGGAATTGGTTTTCCTTTTACTATATGAAGGGGAATCAAAATATTTTTTTTTTGAATAAGGTGAAGTCTGTTTGGGGATATGTTGTTAATCTCTCCCAAGAAACTATTGCAATCTCTATGCTAATGTTCATTTTTTGGCTCATGATGAGGTCATTTCAGCATTAGAAAAAGGTACTACAATTTCTTCTCTCTGTTCTGCAATTTGATAAAGTCTCATTTTTCATTCAGAATCAATTCAGAATCCTTTTCTTCATTGTAGAAGGAACCTTAAAAGTTCTTATTAATAAAATCAAACCTGAGGCGAGTTATTGGGGTCCATGCTGGTAGATCAGAGAGACAGAACAAGCCACAGCTATCTCACCTGGGCCGGATCCTCAGCTGGACTTGTCTCCTCACACTGGAGGCCTCTGAGTCCTCATCCGGAATGGGTCTCAGCTCAATTACTGCTCAAAAGCCTGAATGCTTAACCAGCCAAAATCTCCTAGTTTCTCGTCCTCACGCCTTATATATCTGTCTGATTTCTACCACCACTCCCTGGGATTAAAGGCTGGCTTTCTGGGATTAAAGGCTGGCTTTCTGGGATTAAAGGCG